GAAAGAAGGGAAAAGAAGGGAGCACCTCCAGAGACAAGAGAACTGTCGAATCAGAGGTTTGACTGCGTCTTCGGCCTCAGGTCTAGAAAGAGGAGGAAGAGGAGGAGGATGAGGGGGAGGAGGAGAAGGAGGAGGAGGAGGAGGAGGAGGAGGAGGAGGAGGAGGGGGAGGAGGAGGAGGAGGCGGTCCCCAAAAACGGCTCGGAATGAGAAGGCCGGTCTCCAGAACGCGGTGGAGGGAACGGAGCCCAGAGACTCGAACATATCGAGTCGTCGGTCTGGGGAGGAGGACGAGGATGGGGGGAGGGGAAGAGGCACGAGTCGGGGAGACGTGAGGTTAGGTCGGGCATGTCCTCCTACAGGCGGAATTCGGAGAACAACTCAAATTATCCTGGCGAAGGACCCAACCATATGCAGTTGTGGGTACCGCAATTGTGAATATCTTCTTCGGTGAAGCTCCCTATGGGTCCACGAAGCGCTGCAGTGGGTGGGGGGAGCGCATGCGGGCAGTAGCACTGGGGGCTTCGGTGGAGCTCCTAATGGGGCCACGAAACGCTGTACTGGGTGGGTGAAAATGCCAAATTGGGTGTCCGGGACGCATGCGGACGGTCCAACTGGGGGCTTCGGTGGAGCTCCTAGTGGGGCCACGAAACGCTGTACTGGGTGGGTGTGAGTGTCATATTGGGTGTGTGGAACGCATGTGGGCGGTCCCACTGGGGGCTTCGGTGGGGCTCCGTTCGAGGCCACGAAACGCTGTACTGGGTGGGTGAAAATGTCAAATTGCGTGTGCGGGACGCATGCGGTCGGTCCCACTGGGGGCTTCGGTGGAGCTCCCTATGGGGCCACGAAACGCTGTGCTGGGTGTGGCGGACGCATGTGGCCACCCCTTCTGGGGCCTCCGATGGAGCTCCCTAAGTGGCCACGACACGCAGTACTGGGTGTGGCGGAAGCATGGGGTCATGCATGTGGCCACCCCCAGTGGGCCCTTCGGTGGAGCTCCCTGTGGGGTCACGAAACGTTGTACTGGGTGTGGCGGAAGCATGTGGCCACCCCCACCGGGGCCCTTCGGTGGAGCTCCCTAAGCGGCCACGAAGCGCCGTACTCTGTGTGGCGGACGCATGTGGCCACCACCACTGGGGCCTTCGGTGGAGCTCCCTATGGGGCCACGAAGCGCCGTACTCTGTGTGGCGGACGCATGTGGCCACCCCCACTAGGGCCTTCGGTGGAGCCCCCTATGGGGCCACGAAACGCTGTACTGGGTGTGGCGGACGCATGGGCCACCCGCACTGGGGCCAAAGGTGGAGCTCCCTATGGGGCCACGAAGCGCTGTACTAGGTGTGGCGGGCCCATGTGACCACCCCCACTGGGAGGGGGAGCAAGGAGGAGACACGGGGACCGTCTCTTCAAAGCGAGGACCCAACACCACAGGACGGTCGGGAACAAATGTCAAACAATACTCAAAAATAATGAAACATACTCCAGAAATCGTCCCCCAATGTGTTTGTAAACTATCTTTGGGTATTCCTCCTGTAGGGACACGCCCGACTTAACCGTAAGGCTCGGGTTCGGAGGACTCGGATTGGCCTGACGGGGCCATCAAGCAAATGACGAGACACAATCTGAAACTTGGCACGAACTCCCACTGCATACGCTCCGCGAAAACTGGACCGCCCAACTCCAGCACGGGCTCGTCAGAAAGCGTCAGCAGACCCAAGCTCTGGCGAGCTCCAGTCTTACGTTGTCCCACACGGGGAGGACCGGGACGGGCCTGCTCAGAAGACTCGGCATTCCCCCTGCCTTCCGAGGCGTTGTTTGAGCCGTCCCCACATACACCGAAAACCTCTCCGAAGGCGCGAGGTCTTCCGAGAGAGCCTTCTCCTTCTCACTTCCCCCCCTCGGAGGGCACGCGGGAGGGCACAAGACCCTTCCGAGGGCCGCGCTGCCACAAGAATGTCGCAGGCATGGGCCGCGGGACACGGGACACGAGGACGCCCTTGATTTGGCAGGGTCGACCTGCTGATCGAACTCGACTGAAGCGGCAGAGCGGTGCCTCCAAGCAGGGGTGGGGACAGGCTGACGCGAAACACGTGGAGTGACGGCTCCCTGATCGGCATCGGTCGCAGTCTGCCCGCAGTGCGCGTGCCCCGTGCGGACTGGAGCGTTGTCGCTCCATGGCCCCCCGTTCCGTCGCGAAGGCCTGATGCGATAGGAGCACGTCGCTTGACCGATCCCTGCCTTCGCTCGCATGGCCTGGGTCCCGCTGGCGCGGCCTGGGCCCCGCTGTCCGACGTACCCCCCTCGATGGGGATGTTGGCCGACTCCTTCGGGAGGGGCCTCTCCCTGACTGGGATGGTGGGATGTCGGGAGTCCGAATGGGGTTGAGCATCGGTGAAACGAAACTGACGATAGGCCTGGGGCACCTGGCAAACTCTAAGCCCGAACTCTAAGCCTATGCTGGAACCTGCGTTGGGGAATGATTTGCCCGTGCGGACCTCCGAGAGGGGTCCCTGGCAGCCAGGGCAAGAAGAGCGCGGGACTGCGAATGTCACGAGCGGCGAACTCATTGCGTATCCGCGCTCTCGCGCTCTGGGCTTCGGGGCGCGATCCCGCGGATACGCGGTCGCACGCCTACTCGGGGATCTTCTGACCCGGGTCAATCCAGACCCGGTCAGACAGGCCTTGCAGGATCTGCAAGATCCTGCACCCAAACCCGGGTCAATGCGACGGGGCCTGCAAACTCCTGCAGGATCCCGCGCCCACGCCCGCGTCCGTGCGGCCCTGGCCCTGCGGGTTCCTGCCAAGCTCCAGGGCTCTGACTGACCCCATGTTCGCACCGACCCCCGCCTCCTGAGCCCCGAGCTGCGTTCCGCGCGGGGCATCCGCGACGACACGCGCTCCGCGGCCGCGGCGCGTCGCGGCCCAGGGGCCCCCACAGCCGGCGGGAGGCCGCGCATGTGCGGAGAGGTGCCAGTCTCGCCCACGAGGCGCGGCGCCGGCAGCTTCTGCACGCTCGCCATCGTCACATAGCCCGGTGCTCTCATGGCCAGGCTTGGGACGGGCGTGTCCTCCTACAGGCGGGTTTGCTCGACGAAAAAAAGAGAATGCAAGTCGTCAAAGAGTAGTCGGACATGGTCGAAGATCGTTGACAACATCGTCCCCGGACCACTTTCGACTATTGCTGATTGTTCCTGCTGTAGAGTTATGCTGCCCCCGTCGTACATCAGGACCGCATCCAAGACATATTTTCGAGCACCAGGAGAAGTGTCGAAGCAGTGTCGAAACAATGACGAAAGAGTGTCCCCCAGGGCCCGGCACGTGAAAGCCCTCGAGCTTCGGAACTTTCTTGGTGCTCGAAAAGGCAAGGTACATGCCCGACGCGAGGGCAAGCGCAGAGCACGGGCGCGCATAAGCGCGGATACGCGGCGGCGGCGGCGCTCGCCCTCCTCGTCGGCGGCACAGGACCAGCGAACACCGAGTCGGGATGCCGGCTCGGGGCGGAACGTGCATTAGGTCGGGCACGTCCCCCTACATAGGGAGCCCACGAAGGACGTACGCGCCCAACCATGTACATGAACACGGCCCCTCGATCCGCGAGACTGGCCGCGTGATACGAACATTTGCGCCATGGATACTCTCGAGACCAACGTGGATTCATGTACGTGTGCGTCCTTTTTTCGCTCCTGATTACAGGCGGAGTCTGGGCGAAGAATCCAAAGTATCTAAAGAATGCTCAAAAATGGTCCAGATAGGTAGGGGAAAGCGTCCCCATGCTATGTTTTGCCCAGGGTGCGTTCTGACCCGAATTTCCGGGCGACTCCCGCGGTGGCGACGAGGGCCTCCGAGGAGGTCCTGAACACCGAACACGACAGAAGGATAGCGGCAGGTGTACCTCTTTCCTCCTTCGAGGAAAAGCGGAGCATATTCTCGGAGAACCACCTCGCCCACATATATCCAAAGGTATATTACAACCATACTTATACACAACTATGTATGAGAGAGCGCGTTTCACGGGCGCTTGCCTTGAAACATTCGCCGGCGCGTTTCGAACGGGGGGTGGGTCCTCCCCCCAACACTCGGCGCCGTCGATCAGAACCAGGTGGACTCCCCTCCCCCTCCCGAACCCCCCTCCGCCCACTCTCCCGAGGGGGGAGGGAGGTTCAAACCCCCCACCCCCGGCGCCGGCGCTGGCGCTGGCGGCCGCCAGCAGCGCCGACGGCGGGGACGCAGCGACGATGACCAGAGGCAGCCCATGGGAGGGGGGAGGGGTCCCACCCCCCCCCCCGCGCCGGCGCCGGCGCCGGGGGCGGCCAGCAGCACCGACGGCGGGGACGCAGCGACGATTACCACCACTACCACCGCCACCACCACAGCCACCACCACCACCACCACAACCACTACCACCACAGCTCACCACCACCACAAAAACCCACAACCACTACCACCACCACCACAATCTACCACACCACCACCACCACCACCGCCACAACCACCACCACTACTAGCAGCGCGACCCACCACCACCACCACAAACCACCACACCACCACCACACCTCCACAAACTACCGCCACCACCACAACCACAAACCACCACCATGCATACCACCACCAAACCACCACCACCACCACCACAAACCACCACCACCACCACAAACCACCACCACCCACCACAACAACCACCACCATAACGAACCACCACACCATAACCACCACCACAATCACCACCACCGCCACCACCACCACCACCACAAACCACCACCACCACAAACCACCACACCACCACCACCACCACCCACCACCACCATCCACCACCACAACCACTTCAACGCAACAAACGACCACCACCACAACCATCACCGCCACCACCTCCACCACAACCCACTTCCACCACATCCACTGGGACCACCACAACCACCACGACAAACCGCCACACCACCACCGCCACCGCCACCACCACCTTAACCCACCACCGCCACAACTACCACCACCACCAGAAACCACCGCACCACCACCACCGCCACCACCACCACCACGACCTGCCACCACAACCACTTCAACAACCACCACCACCACAACAACCACCACCACCACCACAGCCCACCACCACCACCACCACCACAGAGAGGCCCCAAGAGACGCCCAAGAGGCGCCCAGGAGGCTGCGCAAATGCCCTTCAGAGGCCCCCGAGAGCCCTCAAACGAGACCCCAAGAGGCATCCATTAGGACTCTGACCCAAAACAAAGGCACGGTGGCGAAGCGTCGTCGTCATCGTCGTCGCCGTCCTCATCGACGCTCCCCGCCGCCGCCGCCCGCCGGCGCCGGCGCCGGCGCCGGCTCAGAAAAGGAAGTCGTCGTCCCCGCCGCCGCCGCCAGCCAGCCGCCGCCGAAGCAGGCGCCTGCCCGAGGAGAGGGAGAGAGGAGAAGTAGGGGAGGAGGGGGAGGGTAGGGGGCTGGGTTCCAACCCCCCCCCCTCCATCCAGGGAAAAGGGGGGGTCCAGTTCCACCCCAGCCCCCTCCAAGCGACCACAGAACGGGCTATTTCATATTTCATATGACATATGTATATACATATATATATATATGTATATACACATATATAAATATATAGATATACGACCGACAGTCGGAAGGAATAGGTGGAAACATGAAGTTGGAGGGCTGATGAGGTAGGTTGGGTTCGGGGCCAACCGAGGAACAACAAACTGTAGCAAAACATGTACCGAGTCTTGAAGTAGGAGGGCGCTTGAAGTAGATAAGGATCTGGGAGTCCAAAACTACCTACTTTCACCGAGAGGCGTTTGGACGGGCCTGTCCCCCTACAGGGGGATTGTGGGCTGATAGAAATAGGCCGCATATATTCCGAAAGTGCTCAAACATTGTAAAACATCATCCCCAGACTATTTTCACTATTTTTGAATATCCCTCCTGAAGAGGGGCAGGCCCGACCTCAAACTAGCGTGCATATGCAATAACAACCTCGCCGTTACGGGCATCACCGCCCGTCGCCGGTGCCCCCCCCCTCCCCCGCGGGGAGGCTGCGTGGGGGGGAGGGCTGTCCGCCCGGGCCTCCCACGTCCTTGCCTCTGCCTTCGCAGCACGGACCCCAGGAAGACCAGACAGCTTCCCTGGCGCGCGCAAGACTTGTGTCCACATCCACTGCAGCTTGGAGCATCGGGCTCCCTCCCCCAAGAGCCCGAGGAGCGCCCTGGATACGGGTACACATTCTGCACCCAGATGCAATCCATCGCCAGAGCGCATGGGCCTTCTGGCGCCCAGGAAGTCCAAGACGCGGTGGATGTGGACAGAAATCTTGCCCGCACCTGTCGAGTAGGGGATCGACTGCAAGCTTAATTCAACACAGAATTGAATTACCCGCCGATTCTATCACAACATGCACAGACTGCCCAACAGATCTACGGATCACTCGCGACGCATGCCCTGTTAGATTCGACGAAAGATGTGGATCAACACGGTGCATCAGTTCAGTAGTCGATACCCTACTATTAAGGCGGGCCTGCCACCTACAGGGGGATTTTCGACGGAAAATAAAAAGTGCTCAAAACATACCCCCAAATTGTCAAAACACACTGAAAAAATAGTCCCCATGTTATTGTGTTGCATATTATTGGATATTCCCCCCTGTAGGAGGGACAGGCCCGACTCAACTCCAGCAGATGATCTTCACGGGGGGGGGGGTCGCGGTCAAAACAGATTCGAAACATACTCAACAAACACAATCCCCATACTATGTTTTGCATATGTTTGTGTAGATTCCCCCCTGTAGAGGGACAGCTAACGGGCGACGAACGGTAGAAAACAAACTTTTTCGAAAGCGCCCCCGACGGCGAAAAAGTTTATGTTATACCGTTCGTCGCCCGTTGAGACGGGCCCGACCTGCCTCCAGCAGCCGAGCTTCACGAGGGGGGGGGGGTCGCGGCCAAAGGGGGACGCACCTCGCCCTCCCGATAATTACCTTCTCTGCGATGCGCTCCGCCGGGGCGGACCCAGCCCTGGCGTTGGGGTCGGTCCTGTCCCCCCTACAGGGGGATGTTGGACGAAGCAATGGCAAATACCCACAACATTTTCAAACATATTCAAACAGTGCTAGAAATGAAACATATTCAAAACACACTCAAGACATATTCAAACAATGCTAACAGTTTAAAATGGAAACGGATGTTAGACGAACAATTATACATACTCAAAACATATCAAAAAAAGCTAAACATGATTCAAACAAACTCGTGTACCCAGACTAAGTTGTTGACCATTTTTGGATATCACCCCCTGTAGAGGGATAGGTTTGATTTATTCGTGGCGATGTGGAGCGTCCTCGGTGCCCTGAGCTGTGAAGCAGGAGCAGCAGAAGCCAGGTCCTCCCTGCCAGAGGTGCTCTTTTGCTCCGAGACTGGAGCTGGCAGTGTGGGGGGGTGGGCGAGCGGGGCCGGGGCGCAGCCGAGGAGCCGGCCTCGGCGTGGCCCAGGTAGGCCAGCTTCAGCTCCTCCTGGGCCGAGGAGGAAGACGGAGGCGCGCGCAAGGTGGTGGAGGGAGGGGGGAGGGCCTCTTGGGAGGAGGCTGCTTATATATAAGATGATCGAGAATGGTCGAACAATCGTCCCCACACAATTTTTTGCAATTTTTGAGCATCCCTCCGGTGGAGGGACGTACCCGACTCAATCGCAGCTGCTGCAAGCGACGCTGGCCCCGTGCTGCGGCGCTGCCGCGCGGGGTCGCGATCTCTTCCTCCTGGCGGCGCGCTCGAGCTCCGATCTCGCCGAGAGCAAATGCTTGGTCCTCCGGCGCAGCGCGCCCCCATGCCGTCGCACTGAATTGACCGCCTGTCATTCTCGCAAACGCAGTCGCGCAGTCGTAGCTGTAGGTCGGGCATGTCCTCCTACGGGCGGATGTTCGAGGACACATAAAAGAAGCAGACAAAAGCCACTCAAATATGATCGAGAATGGTCGAATAATCGTCCCCACACTATTTTTGGGCAAGCTTTGAACATCCCTCCTGTGGAGGGACGTACCCGACTCAATCGCAGCTGCTGCAAGCGACGCTGGCCCCGTGCTGCGGCGCTGCCGCGCGGGGTCGCGATTTCTCCCTCTTGGCGGCGCGCACAAAGGGGTGGAGGGAGGGGGGGGGGCTTGTTAGAAGGGGACTGCTTCTCAGAAGGCGCCGGCCTTACTATAGAGGGCAAACGATCCACCCCCATGATATTCACCCCGACACGCGAAATCGTTTAGTACACACCCCCACTGAAGGAATCGAACAGGGCAGGGCTGTTTAGTAAACGCCCAGGGCCAGTTTAGTAAACGCCAGTTGTCCGGTCCAGCTGGTTTTCCCTCCCTTGACTTACATCTATAAGTAAGGCCCGCGCCTTCCAAGAAGCAGGGGTGCTCCTAAGAAGCCCTCCCCCCCTCCCCACCTCCCTATGCGCGTGGCGCACCCGTGCTGCGGCGCTGCCGCGCGGGGTCGCGATTTTGAAGGGGCCCTGGGACACACAAGTAAATACACACAAATAAAAGGATTCCCCACATTTTCCCGTATCTTCTGGGCTCCTGTCTCCCCCCCCACTGCCCATATTTTCCTACATTTTCTTGGGAATCGACGATTCATTGTGCCTGTGCGGTTTTTTCTTTCCCTCCTGAAATGCCTCCTTCGGCGCGCAGATCCCCCTCGCGCCCACACGCGGGCGGTCGGACTGGGCCCCCCCCCCCTTGCGCAGGAGGCCAGCCCCGAGGCGCGCGCGGGCGCCTCGGGGGGGGGGGCGGTGAGCAGGGGTGGTCGGGTCGGGCGAAAGGGGGGGATAGCAAAGGGGGGGTTTGAGAATCAGCTCACGTAGCTGATTTTCCCGGCGCCTCCCGGCGCCGGAGGCGGCTATGTATCGAGGAATGGGCCCCTCGGTGAGGCCGAAACCAGCTGCATGCAGCAAATTTCGTAACCCCCCCTTTCCCAATCCCCCCCTTTCGTCCGGCCCGAGGTGGGCCCTCTCGGAGGGCTCGGGAGTTCCCCGGCCACCCGAGAAGTGCTCGTGAAGCCTCTCCCCCCCCGACGACACAGCGGAAGCCTCTCCGGAGGCGCGACGGGGGCCTCTCAGAAGTCCCGCCGCCTTCTGAGAAGGCCTTCTCCTCCTCACTCTCCCCCCCCATTGCTTTGTGGATGCCATGACAATGGACACTCCAACAATCCCATCATTGAACAAAACATGTGTTTAAAATGTGTAAAACATGTTCTAAACATGTTTCAAACATGTTTCTAATATTTGAAAAACATGTTTGACAAATGTTTTAGACATCTGGAAATTAGTTGGCAGCATGCTTCCTCTCCAGTAGTCGACTTCCGCAACCCTTGCTCCCCGCCGACAACTGCCCCCGCAAGAAACGGCGCCTGGGGCGCCGCCCGACCCTCGCGGCCGGGGCTGCGACGAAGGAACACTGGGGGCCTCGACGGCGACGTTGCGACGTCCGCGGGGGGGCGACGGGGGTTCGACGGAGCCGGCCGTGCGCCGCATGGCCCGACGCCTCCCCCCACAGCTGCCCCTGGCCACGGCTAGAATGCGCAGAGACCCCGCGCAGCCCGAGACGTGAGCCCTCTGTCTTGACTAGACAAGCGCGTCCCACCACTCGCGAATGGCCTGGAGCCGCCACGGGGGGCTTACGATAGGCTCCAATGGTGCAGACCTGTGTTTTTTCTCTGACGTTTGCGAGTCTGACACTTTGCGAGTACGGGAACGCGCTCGGTGATTGACGGTGCGAAAACTACGCGCGTCGCGCATGGCTAGGGGAACGAACCGTGACATAAACATCCCAACTCGGAGGTCCGCGCGGATTTCTCGGATCGGCGCTGGCCACCCCTGTCGGCGCCTCCGGCGCCGCCTGGGTGCGCTCTCCGCGCGCCAGAGAGGGTCCAGCGCCGATTCGAGAAATCCGCGCGGACCTGGCATACTTGTATGTTCACGTCATTGCCTGATCCCCGAACTAATGGCGACCGTGCGTACTTGGCGCCATCTCACGGCCCGGCCTACCAGACCGTCGCGAGAGCAGGGGGGGCCAGCGCGACAGGGGCTCCACCAACCAGCCACGCGCGCGACGCCTGCCCCCGCCAACCCCGCGTCGACACTTCTGGTCGGGTCTGTCGAGTGGGCCCCCTGTCAACGCCTCGGCGCTCTCCTGCGTGCCCGCCAGTGCCGGCCGCCCCCGTCGGGCCACGCGCGCGCGCATTTCTCTCTTCCCTCCGACTCCCCCCCCTCCCGTCGTCTTCCGTCGCGGCCGAAAGAGAGAGACTCGAGCGGCGCCAGTGTCGCGGTCTGTGCTCGCCCGTGCACGCGCGGCAGGTCGCCCAGTCGGGTCTGCTAGCTGCGAGGTCCGTCTCCTCCCCGCCCACGACGCAGCGGTCCCCGGCCACGCGCCCTCTGGCCTTCCACAACAAACAAAGAGAACGGGTCGTGCGCGCTGCCAATTCGCTCCCGCCAGGCCGCGTGCCCACCGTTTCTGCCATGACACCGCTGGTCCACGCATTGCAGGCACTACATATTGCGTCTATGGTGGAATGTGTTTGAATGAGGTGGGATGCATCTCTAGGTCCTCCTTATCCTTCCTGTTCTCTGCTGCTCTCATCCACATGTCTTCGATCAATCTGCCGAAGAGCTCTGCGTGCTCGAAGTGAGCGTGCGGGTGTTGCTTCATCCCGTTCAGCTCCACCTGTTTCCTCTGGCGCGGCGAAACACGCCGTTTCCCGGCTCAGTATTTGAGCATCCGCTTCGTGTCCTCCTGCGTCCAAGGCTGAACCTCAACGGTGTTTTTCGTTTTGGTGTTGTTTTTGTTTCCCCTCGCTCTTGTCTCGAATCCGCCTTTACCGCAAAACGAAGTCTAAACGAAAACGGCCCACGAAATCGCCAAAAACACCGTTTAGGTCCAGTCCTGCCCCCTCGTACCTGCGCCCTCGGGAGACTCTCTATGTGTGGCGCTCCCGCAGCTCACGCCTCCTCTTAGGTCGGGCATGCCCCCCTACACGCGGAGTCTGGGCGAAAAATCAAAGATACTCTACAGATGCCCCGAAATAGTCAGAACATACTCAAAGAATCGTCCCCAGACTCTTTCTTGCTATGTGTGAACATCCCCCCTAATAGAGGGACAGGCCCGACTGAACTGCAGCAGCGCCACCCTGTGCGCCTGGACCTCTTCCCCTGCTTCGCGGACGCCCTCTCGTCTCCCCTGTCGGAAGCAGCAGCCCAGCGCCGCCCGAGCGGCATCGCTCCCGAACTTGCCGTCGGGTGCCCTGTGAAGTCCAGACTGGTGGCCGTGGATACGTCCTGGGGACCTGTTGTCGTTGTACGCGCCTATCGGCCACATGCCGAGTCCCCGAATCCCTCCGCTCCCGCACACTTCCGCCTCCAGCTCATGGCTGATGTCTTCGATGTGTTTCAGTCGTTCGTTGGCCGACGCTGCAAGTGGGTTGTGTACTACTACTACTAGTACTTCTACTGCACTCATCACAACAATGGAGCACGACGTACGGATCCTCATCTGACAGCTCGAGAAGCCTGCCTCCCCCCGCCCCCCTTGGCTGCGCGTGAAAGTCGGGGCCAGGGTTGCCGTGGGCGGAAACGTGTGTCGGCCGAGCGGGCTGGTATGGTCTCGACGCTCGAACGTCCCCGCGACAACCTAGGAGGAGGTGGAGAAGGAGAAGGAGGAGGGAGGAAGAAAAGGGAGGAAGAGAGATGCTGAGGGGGAAGAGGACGCAGGAGGAAGGAGGGGGAAGAGGAGGAAAAAGGAGAAGGTCAGACGTGTGAGGGAGGTATGACTTCCAACAGATTCGAGCGGGTTGTGGGACCTGGTTGAATGGCAGGCCGAAAATGAATCGAATCGCGAGATCGGGTCGGGTCGCCCACGGGATCGTCCCGAAAAGGATCCAATTCGGATGGCCGCCCTGGCCGACGCTGGTCAATCGATCCGAATCGAATCAGAATCAAGGCCAAGGCCGGCGCATCGAATCACATCGAAAAGGATCGTTCGTGGCACCTGCAAGAGGTACTCCCGGGGATCGGACCCGCTTAGCTCTGGATAAGCGTGAAGCGCGCGGGCGGGCGGCCGATAGCTTGCCGCTTGCCGGGGCTCAGCGTACACTCGAATCCACGCCCCCAAATCACAGCCACTTGTCTAATAGTATGCTTCGAGCGATCCCCACCGAAACGATCGGCGTGTGTTCCCAACGGTGCGCGCGCCTACTGGAACGATGTGCGCGAGGTCCGTTTGTCGCGGCCTGTTTTCTTCTGGTGGCTAGGCGTGGAAGTTGCGTGTGATAGCTCGCCCTTGATATGTCGCTGCTGTGCTTAACAGTGTTGAATCATGGCATGCTCGATAAAGCTCTATTCTGCTATACTGCAATATGATATGTTATGTTGTCGACGGGACGGCATGGCGCCCGTGATGCCAATCTCGTGAGATACATCGTCCGATCGGTCGTTGCTGCGCATGTATGTACCTGCAGCCGGGCTGACCTCG